CTCTCCACCAGTCACTGCAGCATCCACAACACAGCCTCACGTTAGCTCCTCCAACAAGACAGAGTGCAATGCCGTGAGTTCTGTGGTTCTATATAATAAGCACGGCCGGACGGACAGACAGACAGACGCTCCCACCGCACGACAGAGAAAAGGGAAAACCCAAAAGAAACAACAATTTCCCCCGTCCTCCCCAGTGACGGGCTGACATTTACGCCGTCTCCGGCCAGCTTTTTTGCGTGCGCGCCAGCGAGAGCGGGCGAAACGAGATATACTATTTGAAAAAGCTCTGTACTTTTTCGAATCGTTATCGGGCGGCGTATTATGGAATCAGTTCTGCTGAGAACGGGATTGAGCTGGGGTTTTACACTCTCTTCCATACAATTTAGGTACAAGACGGGGAGAGCATTAATAGTACAGAGACAACCTATGTTTTTAATACCTTATTTATCAATTATTTTGTTTTAAACTTGAATTTTTTTAAAGTAGAGGTTTTACAGCGCTCGCAACTGCATAAGGTCACTTGAGCGCCAGAAGATTAGAAGTGTTACAAGGGAGTAACAAACATAAAAAAAGAAGGAGGGGAGATAAAGACGATAGATGTTTGATACGAAAGAAGGAGCAAACCAAACCAGAGCACCCGCCAATCACCCACAATTCCCCAAACATCCCCAAAGCAAGTAGTGCGATATTCCCAACGATGGAAGAACTCTCCATTTGAGTAGTTGTACATGTAACTGGAAATGTTTTATACCATCATCGACACAATTTAGACCATTTAGGAGGTCGGCTGCTTCGACCCTGCCTGTCAGGGCCAACCTGAGGTGGAAGGGAAACAACGTTCCAGCAGAAATTTGGGTATACTTGACAAAAAACCCCCCGAACAAACAACAACAAAAACAAACAAACCCCCTCCCCAAACAAACAACAACAAAACAAACCCCAAAAAAACCCAAACAACAAACAAATAACCAACATCAACAAAACCACCGCACAATGAAATCGAACTCGTGTCTTCTGCGAGCTTTGTTTTGTTTGCTTTAGTAAGAGTTTTACGGCGCTCGCAACTGCATAACGTTATATGAGCAGGTGGAAAAAGGTTGGTTCTTTTCAAAACAGTACACTGCACAGCCTAATTCTGGTCAACACCACTGCTAAAATACTAAAATGCTTCTGCGAGCGATTGTGAAGAAAATAAGAACTACATGTACCCAATAGACACCGCGGGACATGTATACATGTGTATATTTCGATCTCTATAGGAGTAAACGATCGTAGAAGAAACAGCGAAGTGTGCTGCAGGCTTATAAAAAAATACACAAGCGTCAACATTTGTTTTATTGCTCTAAAACACCAAAAACTACGAAATGATGCTCTTTCAGCGAGAAAAAATGAGTGGTTATTATCGGCGCGACATTTTCTGGCACCGCTGACCTTTTCACCTCACTTCCCTCGGCCCGCCCGCCCAGCCCTCTTCCCCTCCCCTCCCCTCCAAAAATGCTGTCCCGCCTTACGCTTTCATGTTCATGTCCTTTTAACGCACTCAGTCAGCATCTACGGAGTAGCGGTTCAGGCTTCTCACTGTTGGAAGCAGAAGGCGCGAGTTCGATTCACGCGCGAGGAGGTTCTTAATTGCGTACTCTGTGCCACCACTTTCAAAGAGGAAATTTACTTGTGAATCCGAAGCGTACGCTTTGCATAGTGCTCTGTTAAAATTATTTTTGGAGAAATACTGAACGTTTCAAAGAGATCTTCGCACTAAACGTATTCTAAAATGTGAAGAATACAACCACGGGGGTACAAAATGACCCTAGGGCGTACGGATAGGGTTAATAGCGTATCTCCGTTTTTCATCTGAGATGTTGCATCCCACTCAGCCACGGCTGGCCCCTACCTAGCAAGGTTGAAAAAAAAACCCAGCCTGTCTCCCAAATGAACTAAATAACGCCGGTGGGAGCGTAAAACATTTTTGGGGGTTAGAATATGAATAAAATAAGCAATAAAAATAAAAACGCTCTAAACCGTTTTCGTAATGGGCACCGTTTTTTTTTCTCTATTTAATCCGCACTCGAACACTGTCACTTCTTTCTTTTCTCGTAATTCCCAAGGTTCGTTAATTTCTTTTTCACTCTTTGACGCAGGTGGTTGTCGGGTGCTCTGGTGTGATTTGCTCCTACTTTCCTATTTTCGTATATTATTATAGTCCTTATTTCTCATTTTTTTTGTGCGAGTTACTCTCTTGTAACATCCCTAATCTTCGGCACAAATATGACCTGTGTGTGCAAGTGCCGTAAAACTGAAAAATATTTAAACAAATAACCCTTTAAATCCACTCCAGGTAGTGATTTTTACTAACAGCCCCAACTATTTTTTTCTTATTATATAAGATCGTAACGTGTATAAAGCTCGCTGACGAGCGAGTATATGCCCTAAACAATAATTGTTATTTATTATTATATTATTACTATTACTATTAATGTTTAAAAAAATTATTATTGCATGTATTATTACATTTATTATACAGTGCTGGGTAAAAGAAACATAACAATGTTTCCATCCTATCATCGTGTTTTGCTGCCCTAAACGCCACATGACGTAACGGGTAGTAAGTATCACCGGGTTATAGCCGAGTTTAACTTTTAGCTCCATTGCTTTATTCTTTTTTTTCCTCATCAGCTCTAACGCTGTTCTATTTTTTCCTTCAAATACAACCCCCAGTTCAAAACTGCCATCTCTTACTCAATGCCGGTAACTCTGTGCCCCGTTTTCTATTTCGTCTTTGGTTCAAGGAGAAAGAACAACAGCTTTGAGGTCGAGGTCAGAACTTGCAAACAAGAGTCTCCCCCCCCCCACCCCACCCCCTCTTCATTTTTTCTCCTCGTTTGTTCTGGAATTACAAAGAACTGTTGTGTTAAGGATTCCTAAGCCCCCGCCCCGCCCACCCCCTCCCCCTCACAACTATGTTACGATGTCTCTCTTTCAACCGCAAAAGCTGCATTGGTAAACAACAATCGGCCCAGATTTCACGCCTGTCTCGATAGCAAACCAAATCCAAGTATCGTTTCTTGTTTGTTTGTTTGTCTGGCTTCTTCTTCTTCTTTTTTTCGCCGCTATTTGGCTTTCTTTTATGTCTTCCAGAATGCGTGCGAGAAAAAGGCGGAGCACATTGTAGGCATACTTGTGAACAGATTCCTGGACAAACCGGCCCGTGGAAAGAAACTATGACGCAAGTGGCCATGGGGTTGTTGACACAATACCGGCTTACAACACGACTCTTTGTTGTTTTTTAAAGTTATGTCAAAGAGCTTTACGGCACTTGCAACACAAATAGGTCATATGAATGCCAAAGATTAAAGTTGTTACTAGAGAATAACATATAAAGAAAAGACGGAGGAAAGATTAGACAGACATGTTTAATCGGAAAGAAGGACCAGAGCAAGCCAGAGAATCCGCCAGTCGCTAACTAAGACTCCATAATACTACACTTTTGACTGTGTCCAGCCAGCGGATTTTCATGATCTTCCTCAGGCAACCTTTGATGAAAGACTATAATTTTTTTTACCATCTGCTTTATTAGTTTCCATGTTATAGATTCATACAACAAAATACTTTGTACTTGTCTTGAAGCAAGTTTCCTGATCTTGATCTCAATACCGACTGTAAGGTTGGAATGCTCCCCTAGCTTTTTCTAATCCTGGTCTTGACACCAGAGACTGTTCCTCCCGTGCCATCTATGACACTCCCTTGATAGGTATCTGAAGTTACTCCCTCTGTGGGATCCCATTAATCTTAATGTAATCTTTTACACCTGAATTAATCTTCACACAGATGAAGAAACTAAAAAAAAACAACTTCCTCATTCAAGAATGGAACTCATGTCTTCTGCACACTGCAATTTGACCGTTAAAACAAAACAGACATTGGTTTCCCGGTGGCTGCAAACATGACAGACATTCAAACTGGTTAACCAAAATGTTCTGAACAAAACAATGATGACAGCTATACCATTTGCCTCCCACACTTGGAGAGGAGGAAAAAAAAAGTGTGTTTTTAACGCCCCCATCGACAAAATCAGATCATTAAGGGGGGTGAGTGACTTTGACCCTTCTTGCCAGGGCTACTCTGGACCGAGTGGGAGACAGTATCCCAGCAGAAAAAGATGGAGATGCTTCAAAGAGGGAGTTGAGTAGAAGGGTTACCCACACTTTAAATAAGTCTTACATGTAAATGCAATTTGATTGATCACTTCTTTCAGTTACTCAAACACTGCACGTCTCATTGCACAGAAAATGTTAAAACAATCTACTAAAAACATATCATATTTCATGCAATGTATATCAAACTTATTTCACACTGTCCAGTGTACAGGGCCAATCTCTCAGTATTCATACGACACATCAAAGAAAGAGAGAACAGAATAGAATTAACTTTTTTTAGCCTTAGCACCCCCCCGCCCCACCCTCAAGCAAAATAACCTTAGGCTTAACACTTGTTGTTAATAACTTACAAATCCTGACTGTGCAACTCATATTTTGGTGTAAAGACAAAAACACTCAAAGCTCTTGTTTGCATGGTGAGTACTTTAAAGGTATTTTGGCAGTGAAGCCAAGGAAGAGCAAGCCAACTTAGAAAGGCTGTCAGTTCAAAATAGTAAACTAACCGTTTCACACAACTGAAAAAAATTTGTAAAACATCACAATTGTCTGGTGTCCTTAGTTTGTGTAGGGAGTGTGTCTGTTCTTTAAAGACTAACTGCCAATGGCTAAGAATGGTTAAGTTTTTCACCCTTGCACAAAAAAGACGCGAGTTCCAGTTCCTTTTGGTTAAAAAAAAAAATTAATTTGAGTACAGTCGAACCTGCCACGACGGCCATCAGTATAATACGGCCACCTGTACAAACGGCCACTTTCCATTCCCCCCTTGCGTTTTTTCTATAAATTTCCACTGTGTAAAACGATCACTTGTCCAACGCAGCCGTGGCAATCATATTTTATCACAGAACCCCTATCACACCAAACAATAACACCTGTCTCAGACGGCCACCTCTCTCATCCCCCGACGTTTTGTCATAAATTATGTACTGGCTCCTGATGTTGTGGATGAGCCATTATAATCCAATCACCTGTCGTTCTTGTAGGTAGTCGCTCCAACCGATCATGCTGCGTAGGCCCTTCCCAGTGTTGACCAACGGGTAACAATAAATTTTCATATGCTGGTGAGGTAAGCGTGTGATCCCTCATAACCCATAAGCCCCGCCCAGTACTCATAAGCAAATCGAAAGTGAGATGGGTGGTCACTATTTACCCAGTCAGCAGCAAAGTAACAACGGATGTCAACATGTACTTGCGACAGAAGTGTCACTCATTCTCCGAGTGGTGGCGACCCACATGTTTGTTTTACCATGGCACTCGGTCTTCCTCCTCTGACACATTTCGTTTTATTGTCACCCATGCAAAAAAATCAGCAACAAAATAAAAAGGAAACAATAAAACAAACCAACAGAAACAACAACAACAATGCAGCTACCTTCGGTTGGGACCTCAGAAGGGAATGGTTGTTTTTTTCATTTTGATAAATCCTTTTTATTCAATCCTGCCTAAGACAGCCACCTGTCTTATATGGCCACTTTTCTCCTTGACAATGGGTGGCCGTCTCACACAGGTTCGACTGTATCTCCGTCTGCCTGTTGGGACATTGTACTCGATTTGGCCTGAGTTGGCCTTGACCGGCAGGGCCAAAGCATCCCCCTCCTAAAACATTAAAACTTTGTATATTGGGGGCAGGGGAGATTTGCAATTACAATTTATTCAGCTTGTACTAGGAGCATCATGTCTATTTTTTTACAGACTAACCTGCAAGTTCTCGGCATAGAGCATGCTCTTAAGGATCTGGTTGCTACGGCGACGAACAGCCTGACTCTCCATCACATTCTCCAGGAAGGTGAGGATGTCTCTCAGCTTGGTGTCAGATGGCAGCAGTTCCAGGGCCTGAGGAGAAAAGAACAACAAAATTGTCAGTGTTGTGTGCTCCCATCTACACAATTACGATCTACTGAGAGGTGGACTGCTTCGACTCTGCCCATCAGGGCCAACCCAAGTTAAGTTGATCCTGGCAGAGACATAGAGATACTCATTAAAAAGAACTTCCCAACTCGAGAATTGAACTTACATCTTTTATGTGAAATGACAAATCGCTTTTAACACCTGCACTGCAGATGCTGGTGGAGATAAATAAAATACATCAAGTTTATACATGAATGTGTACATTACTACCTCACTCATATCAGGCTAGTTTAACCTTCCAAGTGGTGTCGGCTGATTAATTGGCCTTAAGTTTAGTTCTGTGGTGTCACAGTTGATTTAATCGGCCGATATTTGAGTCATTATTTCAGTTAATGTATCCTGGTTTTTAAAAATATAGCTAACCGTTTTAACCTCTTCACAAATGAGCTCTTCTTCCTATGTACATTCTACTTTCTGTAAATGTATAGGTTTCTGGCCTTTACTTGCATGGCTTGTCAGTCCTCAAGTAGTTTCCAACATAATAAGGTGAAATCATGGAAATCTTCTTGACACCACAGGCCATTCGGAGGGTTAAACAGTTTTTTCAGGTTAAAAAGCAACAACCTCTTCTCTCATTCCTTAGACTTTTAACCCTACATACTAGAATGAGCATGCAGACCTGTTTCCTTCAGCACACTGAACATACACCTCAGCATGCACTGGTGTTATTATTATAGCAATCAAACTAAGAGAGCCATGACGACATGTCCAGCATAAACTCTTTAGACCCTGAGTTATTTCAACTGTTTCCCGGAGTTTTGTTCAACGGTCACCTGCACTATGTCTCATTATAACCCCAAAAGCTTGCCTCTAACTTCTAAAAGAAACAAAGTCTTAGTCATTATTTATAAACTTGGTTCGGGAATAGTTCAGAAAAACAAGTAAAAACTAGAACTAAATGAAACAAAATAGTTGTCACTGGTACCCTGAGTCTGATGTGGGGAACAGAGTTAATACCGCTGGACGTTACCAGTGTCCGATGGGGTTTAAAAGAGTTAAGAACTAAACATACATTCAAAGCATTATAAATCTTGAAAAATTTCAAAAAAGGAATAATTACATGTACCTTGAAACTTACATTGAAAACTGCATAAATTTGAAATGAACGAAACCTCTGACTGACCTTGGCCGTGTCAATCTGTCGGGCGTGGTCCTCTAGGAGTTTGAGGGCAACATCCACTTTGTTCCTGCCCAGTACAGTCCCAGTGGCCCCGCCTACTGCCCCACCTACTGCCTGGTGAGACTCGGGAGGTGCCAAGAACATCTTCAGCAGCAAGTAATACACCTAAGATATAAACAGGGAAATACTTTTGATCAACCTGTAACACACGATGTATTTCTTTTTTTTAAAGAAGGGAAAAGAAGCAGAGGAAGACTAAGAATAACCTTCTGAAATAACTTGGACAGATTGGTGACAGGAAAACACAAAGATAATATGGAATTCTTTTATAGCACTCTAGCTGAGGTGGTGAACTATGATCGCAGGTGTCTGTTTCAGATTTGGAACTTGAAGAAAAAGAAGCATACATTTCCATGATTTCTAATAATTTTACAAGTGAGATATCTAGAGAAATATTTTTTTGGCATAAACATATTGGTAAGATGTTTTAGCAAACAGTCTGGTGTATGAGCTGGCATGGACACAAAAATATCCATGATATTAGCTTTCAGACAGTACAAACATACTTGGGTGACGCGCAATATATGAGTCAGTAAACATCTGAACAATGCATGCAGGGTGACTGCCAAACTGATTTCAGCATGTTTCATGAATAATAACTAGTAATCTGACCTGAAACTGAAATCCAATGAAAACTTTTAACCAAGTGACATAAGGGTAACGTAATGTAAATCACTACAAGAAATTCAAAGATATGTAAACATGACAGAGATGAACTGTGAATGAAAAAACCTGAATAACTGGAATGTACGTGTTAATTTCAAACAGTACCTGACAACAACGCCGAGATTTGAGATCTTCTGATCTGTGTGGTTTCAGTAAAAACACGACAAGTGAATTTACAGATGAAACTCTGAACACAGGTGCTTTTCCTAATCATCAAGTGAAAACTTCTGTCTGACCCGAATGTAACGAAACACTGATTTATTTCCAAAGGTAACATAGAATTTTTTGTCAAAATTGCAATTACTTACGTCTTTATTTCCTTCTTTGTCCCTTGCATAATTTTTGGCACAATAACTGCATAGAGGAACAAAAAAAGAGACAGTGCAGTACATGAACATAATAAAATAAACGTAACAAAAACTGGCCTTTTGAGACTCAACATGATCACTGACTTCATTTTCATTTTGCAAATCTAGTGATCAAAAGCATTGAAAAGATAAAAGTACGTGAGAGTGTGTTCTGTAGGTCTGTATGTGTGTGTGTGTGTGTGTGTGTGTGTGTGTGTGTGTGTGTGTGTGTATGTGAGTGTGTGTGTGTGTGTGCGCCTGCGTGTGTGAGAAAAAGTGTGTTTATGTATGTGTACGTGGGCATTTGTATCTGTATAAGTGAGCATGCCTAAGAAAAAACAGGGACAATTGTAAATCCAATATTCTTTCAACTACTTAACTTGTATCACATAATTTTTAAGAAAGTCCATGGGAAAGAAAATCAGAAATTGAGAAAACAATATGGTGCTCTCTAGCCTGACATACAAAGCTCCATGTTGCACAACAATGAGGCTTGTCAAACACGGTTGGTAATAGTAAAGTCTCCCCCCCCCTCCCCATTTTGAACAATTTGACTTGGTGCACAGATCCAGAGTCGCAGTGGGAGTAACAGTCGGGTTGAGGTTATCTCTCAAGACGCACATAGTGATCATCATAATAAATGAAAACAAAGGAGGGGGGATCCTACTTATTTTTACGACACACAGTATATACATATATATAAACAGTATGAGATTCCCTCAAGGTATCCTCAACACTAATAAGCTGCAAAAAGAAGGTACAGTCCTAAACCTCAGACCACCATAAGTTAGGAACTCGGAAGGGAACGGTTTGTTTCCTTCATTTTTATCTGTCTTGACCAAGATGTCCTTCGTCTAAAACAACCACTTTTCTCCTTGACAAGAGGTGAGTGACCCTCTTGAACAATTTCGACTGTAGTTGAAAGGTGTAATGTTCCATATTAAGTTTAGAGTCAACTCTACGTATCACAACAAGACAAGTTCTAAATACATCATCTAAAAGTAGATGATCCAACCGTGCATAGAATTTTAATCACTTCTTAATAATAATAGAGTGTAAAGCGCATAGAGCCTGCTGTTGAGCGGGGATATGCGCTATACAAATGCTATCTATTATTATTATTTGTACTTGCTGCAACAAGCATTTTCTTGTCCTTTTAACCACATGTGTAATCAACGAGTGACATACAATATAGACCAATACAGCACAAACCGTATCGCCTGTTGTGACAGGACAGTGCCTTTTCCTTTTTTATTCAAATTATATCTGAAATGAAAATGCCTCAACAGGGTAGGAACACTCTGTAACTTCAAAAATGGCAATGTTGGTACATAGGGTTCACATGAATCTTGCAAAGTGCATCCATTGTCGTGTCAAATAGTGGAAATCATACTAAAGACAGTATCTGTTAATATTCCAATCTAATAAAACATTGAAACTTTTTCCGCATGTTTCTTTGAAATATTTAACTTTCCCTATGTGTCCAGACTTCACGAACATCCTGTTTTAAAGAGGTTGTCATAAAAATTCTATGATGGAGAGCGACTCTTCTGATTTTTATAAAAGACATGTCACTCACTCTTCTGCTAGCTTTGTATCCTTGAGGACATGGATGTAGATGTTCAAAGCCTGCTCATGCCGGCCCAAACGACCAAGTAAAATTGCACGTTCTTCAAAGAAACCTGAAAGGATCAGAAGAGTTGAGTTAAAAAAACAAAAAACAACTACTTTTTATTCCTCACAGAGTTAAAGTTAATTAAGGAAACATAAAAAAAAAAAATTTAGACTTTAATTCCCACGAAACTTAAGGCTAATACTGGGCACATAAACATTCAGCAGGAATGATATCTTAAAAAAGAGTCCCATTTTTATGCACGAGGACAAAAAATAATGGCAATCCATGAAATTCATTACAAAACAACAAAACACAGCTGTGCTAAGAAAGAAATCAACAAAACAAAAACTATCCTTATTATTCACTGATAAGACAGTCCCCACTCAAGGTAAAACACTAACCATCCGTGGGAAAGCGAGTGAGAAGCCGCTCTGGAATGTAATACTGTGAGTTCTGTAGGAAGGAGATGAGTTTCTTCCTCATGACCCCAAGCTCGTTGGGCTCCTCCCCCTCCTTCCTGGGTGGGTGACCTGGGAACAAAACATGAGTGGCCTATAGAGGTCAAAGTCAAGGTTATAAACACACTTTGTGATGCCTCTGCTAGTATTTTTAAAAACCCTGCAAACTCGTTTCTTCAGACAAAATCAAATCATGCAAAATCTAAACTGTTAAGATTATTTGATTCAAAGGAGTTAAAACATTTAAGCATCAAAATGTGCCCTGATCCTGAGTTGACTCCAAGTCATCGCAGAGAGCAAGAACAGATAGCAATTCCTTGCAGCATTTATCACTAGGACATAGGTGCTGAAGTCTCAGCCTCAGAACTCTCTGTCTTAAAATTCAGTCTCCCTAAGAGATAGAATTATTCTTCCATAATTTTCATGCCTAGGAACCCACTCTGAAAAACAACCCACCCAAGAACCTGGTTTTGTCAGAGAGATATATATAATTTTACCAACAGCCAATTTCATTGCTAACAAATGGAAAAGGTCTTTTTTAAGGTAATAGAAAACAGTAATATCATGATATCTGATAAGACAAGAGAAGAGGATGGGTGGGAAGAGGAGGAAGGTGGACGTAAGAGCACGGGAGTGCAAATCTGTCACTCTCCTACTATTTTCTTGAATTCACATAGTCCTGACTACTCATAAGAACAGAGGCCCCTCCACAGACAGAGCCATTGATGCAATGTAACGCTGTAACAGTTACTACCACTGGTTTTCGAGGATCAAATGGTAATAGGGAAAGAAGAAGGGAGAGGGAGGTAGCGAGGACAAACAGATAGCACTATCTATAAACTACACTACCAATCACTTACACAGAACCTCTAGGCACAAAGCATGAATACTGGCGATTTTGTTTAATCTCTACAAGTGATTTTTCATCAATTTTGGTTTCTCTCTTCTCAGGCAATCTGAGCTCCTAGTTATTCTCCCCACAGCAAAAAATATTCATCAAACAACCCCCCCCCCTCCCCAACTTCATATCTTATATCAAGAATTACAATCTCAGCAACAGGTTGCATTCCATTTTTAGCTAAAAATGGACCCAATGGATAGCAATTATTAAATTATTGACACAGCGAAAGGCTGGATCACTTGAGAAATCACAAAGTAGTCGAATTAAAAGCTTTAAATCACCAAATATAAATTGGGTAATTCAGACATAACTCTTGCTCCACTTAGGTAACAATGAAGCTCTCTTGCTGACACGAAATGTACTCCTTAACTTTTGTCTGAAACTTCCTTCTGTATTGGGGTCCGTTTTTCTTTTGTTTCCTAGTTATTAAGCTTTTTTTGTGGAGATAACTGAAAAAACAACTGAAAGAAAAAAACAAACAAACAAAAAACCCCCCCGAAAATGAAATAACTCAATAGATGAGGGGAATTTCTTGTCTCAGCCTGTATAACTATTTGACAGGATATCTATAGTTTTCTTTTTATTCCTCATGTACCAGATCTACCCGGTCAGCAATCTTAAATTGCACAGTTTTACCCTTAAAAAAACAACAACAAATCATCATGGTGTGGAAGCAAACTGTCCTGTAAACAAACCTTCGGGGAGAGAGTGGACGTACTCATCCCTGAGCTTCTGTACTCTGTCTCTGTACAAGTCCACTAAACGGTTGTGAAATTCCTCTTTTTGATCATGGCAGTCCAGAATGATGTGCTCCTGAACAAATGATCAAAGCAAGTAAAAATGTTTTAACTCACAAATGGAAACAAATTTCTGGCAATCCTTTAAAACATGAGCATGAGGAGGAGAAAAAGAACGAAAAAACAAAACAGCAACAACAAAAAAACCTCTCCATTTCTGATATTACACCATCGTAAGTATAGTTGGCACTGCTCTAACGGCCACCTGTATTAGACAATCACCTGTACAAACGACCCCTTCCTATGTCTTCCCTTGCATATTTTTTACATTATAAAGACACTGTGTAAGACAGTCACCTGTCTAAGATGGCTACTTTTCTCCTCAACAATTTGTGGCCATCTTAGACAGGTTCGACTGTATTTGTAATGAAGATCATAATATTTTCAAATTTAGTTTTTAGTTTCAGTAAAAGTTTAACAGCACTTGCAACACAATTAAGTCCAATAAATGACAAAGATTAGGGGTGTTACTTGAAAGTAACATACGACTAAAAGAAGGAGGAGAGATAAGGACGTCGGACGTTTGATATGAAAGAAGGAGCAAACCACACCAGAACACCTGCCAACCCCCCACACATAGTCAAATGAACACAGTGGAACTGATGACATATTCACTATAAGGACAAAGACTGATTACATGAGCTAATGTAAAAAGGGGAGACATGTACCAAAAGGAAGTCCTGAAACTTTCTTTATCACAGAAATGTGAAAACATAGGGCATAAATGGCATCAAATATGTTACCAAACCATACTCACCAGAATTAACCCTGCCATAATATGGAATGATAGAGACAGCTACACATCCAAAAGTACAAATACAGTAATTTCAGGCTATGTGGAGATGAGGAGTATTTATTCTTTAATAGAGCTAACAACCCCACAGCCCCATTACAATTTCCATTGTGTGTAGGTGAAAAGTGTATAAGCTTTTTACAAAGCTTTTCCTGTCTGAGCACTGACACAATTCTGTAGTACAAAGGAAAGGAGTGTTCACAACTCTTAAGCACTGGGTAAACAAGTTATTAAATAATGTTTCAGTGGAAATTTTAAAAAGTTCATTGCACCCTCTGCCCCTCCTTTGTTGTTTTAGGTCTGAGTCTGTGGTGTAACACTAAGCCTATTTGCTGCTGCACACAGAAAATGTGGTTTTAATTCACGTGTTGGGAAGTCTTTTTATCCAGTAACACCAATATCTGTCTTCTGGGATTTCATATCCTTTTCACCTAGGTTAAGCCCTGATAGTCAGGGTCGAAGCATCCAGCTTTCTCAATTATCTAAATTGTGTTGATAAGAGCGTATTATATTTACAAATCACAGTTAGAGTTGCTAAGGCCTTACCAGGTACTGTGAGGCCAAGTCGCTGTTGATGCTCTCTAGTTTGTCCAACACTTTGTCCCGAGGCAACGTCTCTATCTCCGGCAGGTCCTCCGTGAAGATCTGAACAGTTGAAACATTGCTTTGTATTAAATAAAACATCTAAATACACAGAACAAGGGAATGACTGAAAAAGGTTTGAACTCTGAGCTATTATTTTGAATAAATAAAAGAATATGCATTCTGAATTGAAATACCGAAGAAACTTCTAAATCACCAGCAGGTTCTCCTTCAAAATCTGAACAGTTTAAACATTGGTACATTTTGTACAGGCTACAACAGAACTTAAACGTGAATATCTAGTGCCTTCATAAATAAATTATTGATGGTTCAGTACACACTACACACATCTCAGGATTGTGACTTGAGATGAGTGAAAATTGAGCTTTCATTTCAAATAAATGAAAGCAGTACATGCATTCCAAAATCTAAGAGGTATCAAAATTCTTTAAAAGTAGCAAGTCGTTTCACATAAAAAGAAAACAGTTTGAGACACATACTCATTGTTTGTTATGACCGCAAGTTCAGAGGCAAGAGCAAAAAAATATAAGGTAACCAAATCAAAAACCCTCTCCTCAACAACAAAGCATATTTTTTAAAAGTTTCTAGTAGTTTCGAACTTACCTTCAGACCATCCTCTGGATATTGCTTAAGTACCCATTCCGCATATTCAAATATCAAGTGTAAGTGCTCCGAACCTGTGGATGTATAAAGAATTAAAATAACAAAATTGTAAAAAGTCAAATGAAATAAGAAAAGCTAGAACACATCTTACCTGAGACAATCCACAAAGCCTTTCACAACTGACCACAGAAATGTGTTACTCCATTCAACTAACAGATCTTGAATGCTTAAAATGCTCCAAGTACCCTTGGGTAAAATAGTAAAGTATTTTTGTTATTTCATCCACAGAGATAACGTTAAATTGGAGATTTAAATTATTATGTCTTATTGGTTGAGAGATATATTTTGAACAACACAATATTTCTATTGCTAAAATCAAGACAAGCACAAGTAAAGTAAAGGCCCACATGCATTTTTGAACCCTTTGTTTTTTCAGTGATCAGGGAAATGTGACCACCATGTCCTCTAACCACCCTCTGACAGTGACATACAGGAACTATTACCTAGATGCTGAAGGTACTGCACTGTTCTTTCGTGGCCCTTGAGAGGAGAGTCTGGCCGAGCAGCTTGTTTCATCAACACGTTCAAGGCTGTCAGGAAAACACACAGGGACATGAGCTCTAAAAATAACTTCTTCGTTGATTTTACTGAACAACAAAATTAAAAGCTCAAGAGCAAAAATTATCCAGGTCCACAATTATGGGATGCGTATTGGCAAGATAAAATAACTTTAGCTTGAAAACACAGCATTATTCTGCCCCAATTAGTAGTTGTATGTTAGTTAAATAGTAAAGGAGTGATATTTATTATCAGAATAATTTTAAGTATGCGTTTATGTCTGATACGTAACCATAACCCAAAACTTCCCTATGGATATCAAAGAGAATAATTTTTTTTCTTTCTTTTTTCCTCATTCAATAACAAATTGCATTTTTCATGAAATTGCACAATTTCCCACACGACCAGAATATAACTTGAGTCTTCCTATCTTGCATACTTTCAGAGCTCTCTCACTGAAACAACTTGTAAAAGTTTGCCATTGTCACTTCAATCAAACTGCAAAAAAATCATTACTCATCACTATTACACTAACCTTTCTGGTGCAGACCTTTCCTCTCATAGAGAATAATGAGTTCTGAGAATTTCTCCTTTCTTTTCAGCACTCTCTCACTCTCCTCTACATGACAATTGTTGTCTTTGAGTCTGAGCAGTGGAGCTACCAGGGCGTCATTGGTCTACAGAGCAAACAGAGAGAAACCACAACGCAAAATATCTTAAACGATTTGTTGAACAAGGGAAAATAGACCAAGAACAGATGGGTAATTGGAAAAGACTAGGATAACTGTAAACATAGGTTTTTAAAAAAGAGTATCAAAGTAGAGAAATGATTAGTCAACCAAGATTGCAAAAGATAGAGGGAGAAGAAGAAGAAAAAGAAGGAGGAGGATGAAGAAGAGAAAAAGAAGAAGAAGAAAAAGAAGGAGGAGGATGAAGAAGAGAAAAAGAAGAAGAAGAAAAAGAAGGAGGAGGATGAAGAAGAGAAAAAGAAGATGAAGAAAAAAAACATGAGACAATATCACGATACAGCAACAATTGAGATGGTTTCAATAAAGAAAATAGTTGCAGATAAGCTGAGCAACTAGGGCAGACGAAATGAGCTTCAGGTTTATCGATGACTTCGCCCATCAAAAACAATTTCCCCTAGAACCAATGAGAAACAGTTTTAAAACAACATGAGGTAGATCAAAAAGAAAAAGTAATCCTATTACTTCCACTTTTTTCTCATCCCACCCCAACCACCCAAGACCTTGCCCCCAACTTTTAACTCTTTCAAAAAGAAAGGAAAAAGAAAAGAAGCCTCCTCACATTTCTAGATTGGGGTTTTGGTTCTCAAACAGTGCATTTCTACCACAGTTTATCTTCTACAAGCATACATACATACATATGTGTCATGACACGTTGGAACCAGATGATCGTCAATTTTTCAGCATATGAGGTTATTGGTCTCATATTACAGCTGGCTTACTTTGTCTTGCTTTTGATTTTTTTTTTAATGTTGTAAAGCACATACAGCATGCTGTCGGGCATGGATAGGCGCGAAATAAATGCAATTATGGGTTTTAAAATAGACATAAAAGGTGTTGAACCAAAATAAATAATTCGATAAAAATTGCCCGTTGCAGAAAAATGTCTCCAATTTAATTTTTTGGACGATTATCTGATTTCATCGTATGGTACACATATAAAGGACATTCAAACAAATCGTTTAGTCAGGTTAAAATTTCTTGCCTGCAGATAGCATTTGAGCAGTGTCGTATCGATGATCTGACTTAGCTGTTTGCGAGAGTTAATCGTCTTATTTCCCTCCACTATTGCAGTGGTAGACATCTCTTTGTCTATGTCTTTCAGCAGCTCATTTCGTTTCTGAAAAGGCAAAAAAAATGTCTGAATTTCTCAGGAAACTGTAATATTCAAAACATAAATATGAAAAACACCTTTTTAAATATTAGTGAATTAAGCTATTCAGCACATATAAAGAACCACATCTCAATTCAGTTAATACTTTTTTGTTGTCTTTAATGAACAAAAACAATCTTCAATTAAAAAAAAAAAATCCACAAAAAACTTCCCTGAAGAAAATAGGCAAAAACATGCAATATAATGTACAGTTGCGATGAAAGGAGAAAGAAAAAACAACCAAAAGGCAAAAAAACCCCCAGAAAATAAAACAAAACTACAGTCAAACTCGGTGTAACAGCCACCTGTCCAAGACAATCACCGGTACAATCGACAACTTCCCACTTTCCCCTTCATTTTTTTTCTGTATTATAATGACACTGTCAAAGACATCCATCTGTCCAACATGACCACATTTTCTCTCTATAATGCATGGTCATCCAGGACAATTTCGACTGTACATGCTTTTGCTTTGAGATTGGATTCTAAAAGAACAAACTATACAAACAGGCGGATGAGAGGACAATATGCATATCAATGGTGTTGTGCTGTAACTGAGTAGCTAGAAGAGATAGGACAACTCTTTTTTTTGTTGTTGTTCCACAACAATTGTCGAGGTTGATCTTCAGGTTCTCAACAAAATTCAGGTGTGAACAGGCCCTAAACATAACACAAACATACAGTGCAATAACTTTTGTGTTTACTCAGATTATTGAAATCAGAAAGGTTTCTTCATACGTTGAAAAATTTTCAAGAAACAAGTTATATGGCTCTCTCCTGTTCTTTGTATTACCGCAAAGGGCACTGAGCACTTGCTTAGTGAAAAAACACTATTGGAGTGAACTTTATGATCTATTATTATTATTATTTGAAAAAAAAATTAAAACATGAATGATTATCACTATTACTATTTTATCATCATCATTATAACAACAACAACAATAATAATAATAATAATAACAACAATTATTATCATTATGGTCATGACATAAGACAATGGCTATGCAACTGACCTGGGTGAGATACTCTATGAGGCCGAGGTATCCCTTCTCACACTCCGTGTCTGTCAGGTCGGGAACCTTGGCCGGGTACTCTAGCTTGTTGCGGAAATCTTGAGGTAGCAGGTTCGGGTACAGTCCGATCACATGACTGGGGTCTTTCGACAAAATAAAAAAGTACAATAACATTTGACGAAACCCGACTATGACTTTTGAAAGAAATAAAGATAAATCATCATGGAGATACATATCTAAATGATGTAGAACCTCAAAACATGGACAATTTTTTTTTTTTTTTTGTTTTTTTATTTGGTGAAAGGCAAACAATACAACCTTATTATACAAGAAAATTACTACACTTTTGAAAAACAGTATTGGCCTCATGAAGCCAAAATTTCCATACTTATAAACTTTCATGGCAAAACCAAAACATTTCCTGGAAATTTTTTAATCAGACACACAAAAAAAGCTTCGCTAACCAAAGCTACAATTTTTCACTTCATTAATAATTATCATTTCTCACCTGTCCCTAGCTTGGCAAATAGAGTGAGAGACTCTTCAAACCTCCTCTGGCAAAAGAGTTCAAAGGCATACAAATTCTTGATATTTCGTATCCTTTTTTCCTTCTCACTCTCAGGTTCCTTAGACAGCTCCTGAAAAGACACGATTTTTTATCAGAAACATATCCTAGTCTTTTCTTACTTAAAGTTGTAAAATGCAAAGAGCATGCTGTAGAGCATTAATATGTGATATATATAAATGCAACTATTATGATATCATTATCATCCACCTCTATACAGAGTGAAAGAATCAGAATTTGGGTACATAATATTTCACTGGCTTACTTCAAAGTCTAGAAGTTCCATGACAAAACCACATCCTTAACAATCCATATAAATGGGGAGAGACATAGGGGATGTATGGAACACAGCAAAGAAATGACAGTATCTCCATATTCTGTCCCTCCTTCATTGTGAAAAGTTAGTAGAATGCTAAAAAGTGCAGTAAAACGGATTACTTTTGATGAATCAGTATAGACAGTACCAACACTTACTGTAACAAATTCCCATATCCCTTAAGTCACATTATAGCACTGGCAATATATAGGGTAGTACATAAGTAGAGTAAAAATCTCAGTAGTGTACATTTCAGGTATAGTTTTTAATGTATTCACTATTTAGTATCCTTCAATTACCCTTTGCACTGTACTCCGATCACTGTTCCTGTCCTGTAACCCCCGCCCCTTATATCTGTCTGAACTGAATAAAGGATCTCCATCATCAGTTGCTGTGCGACTATGCACCAAACCAGTTGTGTCTGTTATATTTATTTTCTCACAAATCTAGACCCTATCTGTTATATTGTTATACACATAGTCTGTAACTGTTATATTATCATACACATTGTAACTGTTATATTGTTATACACACACGCTGTGACTGTTGTATTGTTATACAGATAGTCTGTGACCCTTATATCTAAGCTGTATCTGTTATATTGTTACATATACTCAAAGATTTAGTGTTTGTGTCTGATATTGTTATTATACTTAGATAACAATCAAATAATGCATATCAAAACATCTTGACTGACTTATGAAATATTTTAACATTACATAAATTTCTTACCGCTAACTTGAGGGCTAGTTCAAACTCCTTCCCCTGTAGGAGCTGTCGAATCTGTATGGAGTAAGGTACTGGTGCCAGACGCCATACATTGTTGGGAGATGCCACATAGATGGAGCCACTGTAAAACACACAAGAGATAAATACAGAATGTGTGGTTACACACAATGCTCAGTAGGTAGAGACAGATATTACAGGATATAAGGCTACACATTATGCAGTTTAGATGGAGAGAGACATAGAGGATGTTAGACTACACACCGCTCCGTGTAAAAGAGAGAAAAGATGTAAGGCTACTCACCATGCTGTGTAGATGAAGGGTTATAGAGGATATGAGGCTAGATATCATTCCTTGTAGATAAAGAAAGTGGGTGGTTGGCGGGTGCTCTGGTGTGGTTTGCTTCTTCTTTCCTATGAAACATCTATCGTTCTTATCTCCCCTTCTTTTTTATGTTCATTACTCTCTTGTAACACCTCTGATCTTCCTGCGCTCATACGACCGTATGCAGTTGCGAACGCTATAAAACCTCTACTAAAACAAAAACTAAACAGTAGATAAAGAAAGATATAAAAGATGTGAGGCTCCACCCCTTGCCATGCAGATGGAGAGAGACAGAGAGAATGTGAGGCTACACACCATACTGTGTAGATGAAGAGAGATAAAGAGGATGTAAGGCTATACACCCAAGTTGCATTGATGGAAAGACACTAAAGAGCACATAAGGCAACCCACCATGCCGTATAGATGGAGAGACACTTTTTTTGGTGAGATTTTTATGGCACTTGCAACACAATAAGGTCATATAACTGCGGAATATAAGGTGCATTACAAGGGAGTAACAAAAACAAAAAAGGAGGAGGAAAGATAAGGACAATAGATTTGATAGGAAAGAAGAAGAAGCAAAGCACACCAGTGCACCCTCCAATCACCCACTGGAGAGACACTAAGAGCACATGATGCTACACACCATTCCATGTAAATGGAGAGTCATAGAGGAAGTGAGACTACACATCATTCCTTGTAGATAGAGAGAGACATAGAGGATGTAAGACTACACACCATGCTGTTTAGATGGAAAGACACTAAGAGCACACGATGCTACACACCATTCCATGATCATGGAGAAAGATATAGAGGATGTTAAGGCTTCACAATATGCCTTATGTGTCATGACCCAGTGGAATCAGGCGCTCGTCAGTTTTTTGGCAAGTAGAGTTATCGGTATCATCGTAGAGCTTGTTCATTTGTCTTGCTTTTGATGAAAGAAGTATCCATTTATCTCAAATACAAGTCGGGATATTTGCGAATGAAGGACGTGGGGGTCACCTGGTTTCAGGGGTAAAATTAGTGAGAAAATGGCCATCAAAGATTAGTTATTTTCCTAGCTTGAGAGTCCGTGGAAACTGAAAATGTACATTTTTTGTGCCTTTAATCAACGTTTTTCAGAAAAATCTTCCCAAAAATGTGTTCTTTAATGGGCATGAAAGGTGCTGAGCCAAAAACCAAAAATTCTATACAAATTCACAAACCTACGGAAAAATGCCCGTTTCTCCACTTTTATTATTTGGACGAGCTCCTGATTTCACTACGCTGCCTCACATATGTAATATAACAAGTCACAGCAGCTATTCATTCAGAACAAAGCTGTAAAATAGGGTTCATGAGTTTTCCCTTGCATTTGAAATTAGATGAGCGTCATTATTTATATTTTCAAAGAGAATTCAAATCTATTTATGATAATGTTGGTGAAATACAAAATTTAATACTGAGATTAAATTATTTTTACATCAATTTCATACTTTCATTATTATTTTCAGCATTTCAAGATAATTTTAACTTACTGCACGGCAATTTTACAGTAAAGCAGTTGAAAGTAAAAACGATCTAGCTCAAGGAATGTTGAAAGATACTTGCAATGAACAAACAAAAATCAGAGAACAATTGGTTTTCTTTCAAACTGAGGAAATGAGCTAGCATAAGAAAGTACAAAATAAAACATTTTGAGACATGGTATATAAAAATGCAAATACTTACTCCCCCTGACAAATGAGTCTGGCTTTGGGCAGTGTGAGGTCCTGTATTTTCAGTTTTGGGTCAATTGTTCTCACCTCCACATATTTTGGCAGTATTGCGATAAGGTAAGGAGGACAATGTTCTGGGGAATGCAGGAAGCAGGGTGGGGGGAGGAGTTTGATTTGAGAAAACAACAGAAAAAGAACATGAACGACACAGCTTGCTGTAACTGTCTTTATTCGCACTAAATTACATTTAGAAAGCAGAATAAGTACTTTGCTAGTACAGTAGTCTCTGACTAAATGCACGATGCTTGGGAGGGCTGTTTAGCGTGTGTTAATACAGAGCATACGTTTACATAAACCTGTGCAAAGGGAGAAAGAGACGCAGTCGTCTCATTGGCTTGATATTCTAATTACCTCCCTTGGGGGCGGGGATCACTTTGACCGATATTGTGATGACACATGACTATTTTGTGAAGGATTCTCCGATATACAGGGTCAAATGTCAGAAACACATAGCCTATGAGGAAACTGTTGGTGATAGTCATGGAGACGATGGCCCAGCCACGTGGTTTTCCAAGAGACCATCCCAAGCGTAAATGCATGGACGACATCAGAATCATAGATCTCTACATTCAGAGAAAGATTTCTCTTGTGATTCGTTGAACAAATACGTTATAAGTTCTTCGAGCGCGGCAGATTAGGCTTACTTGATTAATCTTTAAAGAGGCCTATCCAGCTTACAGCATTTCCGCAAGATGTGCATCATAGGCCTAGGTCTTGCTAAACATTACATGCAGTCACCAAAACACCAGTCAGAAACCTTCTTTCAAAGACGCGATGCATTTCCAGAGACCAATTCAAAAACATTTCAGTCCCCCAACATTTCACCGACCAGTCCTAGACCTATTTGCCTGTGGAGAGTTGGGTGTGAAAACGCTGTCCATCACTTTCTTTGTTCGGCATGAGGGGCAGTCTCACCAAATATCCGGTTTTCTAGGCTAGTCTTTTTCAAGCTGTGACGTTGTTGTGAAAATTTACCCTTGTTAAGTTTTACTTATCAACACAACATTGGTCTTTAAGTGCCAGCAAAGAGTCAGATGGATACACAGAAATAACAAAAGGAGCATAAAAAAGTCGCACCTTCGATCAGTAGCACCTTCCAACCACTCAAATATTGAGCAGATCGGAGAAATAAATACACAATTATAAAGTGTGCAGGACAAAAACAGGTTTATTAGCACTGTGTATGAATGTCACCTACCCATGGCAGTGGGGATTTCTGACCATAAGATTGGTTCTTTCTGAGTGGGGTCTCCATCAGCGTTTATAAGTATGGACATGTGGTCCCGCCCTAAGGCAAGTCGGTGGTCGTGGAGACGGGTCACAATGGGGTCGGGCTGGTTGGCACCCACAGGGAACAGCTCCTTCAGATTCCCTGTTGTGGACTTGATGACAGAGAAATAACAACTTGATAATAAAATCGAACCCATAAGATATGTAAGGACGCACAGGCAAAGAAATATGAACCCATGCTTATTTTCTAAAAGACAGAATAAATAGAAATGAGGTTTCGATGACAGGTGTGCGCCGAGTTCAAGTGTCACTGTTTCCAAGCTGACTGTACTCCAATATCCTTAACTTTTTTAAGGACGTAGTGGACACGCATGTCCCACCAGCAGCAGATCAAAAGCAAAATGGTGCTACATCTCGAACAATTATACACAAAATGAGAAACATGAATTTGCACATTTCATAATATGCATGTGGTTGCCTGCCTTTTTAAAGTTTCAGATAAAGTAAACAGTTTTGAGAAATCTGTGTGAGAAAATAAAGTGATGCTTCTTTTTTAAAGTGCCATAAAACAGCCCATCCTCAAAGAGTTAAACCACATTACTGTTGTAATCGGGTAGTAGATAATGGCAGGTCAGTATGCAAACAGAGACATTTTACCTGAAACCAATTGTGGAAACAGCGACAATGAAGAGAAGCAGGTGTCTCTGTGTATATATTTTACACTCCCATATACAACTTTTGATCATTTAGGAGACGAGCTACCTCTATAAAAAAACTTCCTTATGGGGGAGGGAGGGGGTGCTCAGTTGCTAAACAAGAACTGTATTTGCCTGCCAACCCATAGGTCTGGAGTTCGATCCCTGCTAGCATCAGTCCCCCCCCCCCCCCCCCCCCCCCCCCCATGTCTTTTTACACCCTTTGATCCCAAGGCAAGTAGGATTGAGCACCTAGGCTTTTTGATTGGGAAAATTTTTTTCGTAAGTCTCGTGAAGAAATTCCACACATTAAAGATTCCTACGGAGCTCTATCAGAGGACCGAGGAGAAGAAGTCTTTCCCATACCAGAATTGAACTCATATCTCCTGCACGTTAAGGTGAAGAGCCTGCCTGCTTTGCCACAGACACTGGTAAGAAACAGAAGTAGAAGGAGTAGACAACTGTAGACTACCAAACTAGCTACATGTACTAGACCAGAGCCACACAGAGGAGTCAGCAACTCACATTGATGATGTAGTAGTCTCTCTTGAAGCCCACACATAATGAATCTCGACACCAGGACAGAGCATGTGGGAAGTCATACAGGCTCAGATCGTTCTGATAAATAGAAACAAAAAGTACATTAAGAACAATTTTCAGGAATAAAAATAAAATAAGGCGACAAAATTTACAACAGGTAATCTAAGACTACTGTAACAATGGAAAATACAAAAAGAAATCTGTAATAGTGAAAATAATGTTTGATACCATTTTCAAATTTCAATTTGCGTGATGTAAGTCACTACCCCACCCCCCTCTCCTTCCCCCCAAAAACAACAACAAAAAACAAAAACAAACAAAACCCACACCAAATTCAACTCCTCTCCCTCTTTGTCAAACTCTTTCCTGAATGGAAATTATCAAATCCCCTCAGAAAACATACACTGAAACCCCCCCCACAAAACTTACAAAACTATGTGTTAAAAGTAATTACTTACCAATATCTCATAGAAATCCTTTCGCTCCCATTTGAATAACTGAAGTGAACAAATTAAAATGAATATCAACAACAGGATAGTTAAACATTGTCATAAAAGAGTTTTAAAATGTAAATTTGACACAAAAAACAAAAATGGTTAGAACATCATTCTGCTTTTAAGAAATGATTGCTTTACCTTACATGTGCACAATGCTGTGTATTACTCTATGCCACTTTAGCATCTGTGGTTCTCTAGAGAACAGAACAACATTTGTTCTGAGTCCTTTAGCCAACCATACAGCTGAATGAATATTACACTCTAAAATCTATAAAGCCTGCATAGTTTCCAGCTCTGAGATCTAAACTTTGTGCCATCTTAAGCTGACCCACACACACATCTAACTGTATTGAAAAATGTTAAACACTCTTATTAGATAATATATGAAACAAAGCCCATTGCATTTAGTTCTATATAACTTTTAAGTTACAAGAAAGCAAAACACAATTACTTTTCAAACAAGAAAACAAAAAACATTAAGATGTTTCAAACCTATGTTGCGCACAAACCTGTATTTTTCTTTTGGATGCAACCCCAATCCTTAAACTGGGTTGAAAATCTCCATTTGCTGTTTGCCTTTTCTGTGGACAAGGACTGCCTTTATGATTTTACTGTAGTATAATATATTGTCATCACAAAAATGAGAACTGATATACAGTATCTTGGAGACGTCCAAAATTCTACAATCAAAGTCACAGTAAAAGAAAAATCTTGAAACAATTAAAAGAAAACAAGAGGACATGATCACAGCAAAGGTAGTAGAGGTCAAACCACAGATATGAGAGAACATTTCCAAGACTGGTCTGAAACGTGTAGTTTCTTCAGACACCCTTGCATTATTTTTTTATTACATCAAACAGTCCTTGTCATCTTTCTTAGTTTTATGTCGACCTTGCGGCTTTTTTTCTTGATTCAAAAGTCTGATATCATTATTATAATGTGCATCTCTTCAACAAAATACACACGTCCTTAAGAAAAAGCTACAGTTACCGCTAAAAGGTTAGGCCTGATTAATTAATGCTTTTAAGAACAGTTTCAAAGCAGACAAGTGTTGAACTGTGCACGAGAGACATTGTGACACCTCCCTACATTCACAAGTTAAATGACATTTTGGCATTCATCCTCTCTCTACCAGCACTAATATGAAAAATAAACCTGTTCAACTGCTTCATTAAGGGAGAAAGGGACAAATGTAATATATATTATAATAGTTAGTGTTTTACCACCCTATTAACAAAGTTTAGATCATTAAGTAGGCAGCTGTTTTGACTCTGCCTGTCAGGATCAGCCAGGGCTGAGTGGGATACAGCATCCCAGCAGACAGACAGAGATACTCCAAAAAAGAATAGGAAAGTATAAATGAATACCAGTGACTAACCTTGACATCGATGGCAAACAAAGTGGCGCCTTTGGTTTTGCTCACACAAGTGATCAAGGTGAGAGAGGTAAGGTCATGCACACTTATCACATTATCTGAAAATAGAATTAAAAACACAGAAAGCCAATGTTGGAGTAAATTACCATCGGTGGAAGTTAAGAAGAAACTACCAGTGTAGGAAGTTATTAAAAAAATATCACCACAAAGTAATTTTTCCCCGAACAGCAAAATGAAGAGATGTACATAAAACAAGATTACAGCATTGAGTGTGTGATTTAAAAAAATTTCTGCTTGTATTAGACAGTGATTAGAGAGGACCAGTTGAAGAAAAGAATACTGGTGTTAGTGTAGTACATTTTACAATTAGTTTCACGCAAAAAAAGTAACTAATGGGTCGTTGCAGCAGTAAACCCCAAATCCTTTCTTTCAACTTCAAAATATAAGAGTGAAGACCACATTCCATTTTTTCTGAGGGATAGTAAATCGCTTACCAGATAAGCTGATGAGTATGAATAGCTCTGGCACAGCAGCAAGCTGTGAAAAAAAAAGACAAAACAAAATAGATATATAAAAACACCAAAGCAAAAGAGAAAACATACAAGTATATTACATTTAGTGTTTTCAAAGTCTGACAGAGATCTCTTGATGCACATACACCTAACTTGGGTTACTCCACTACAAATTCAAAGAAATGGGAGAAGGGCCCTTGGATAAATATACTTCAGTTTAAAAAAAAGATATCCCTGATAGCATGAATATTTAATATATGACAAAGCAGAGACCATTCTTTAACAAGTCTTTGAATTAAAAAAAAATTACCTTACCCTAGTGTGGTGTTGTAAGAAAATTCTAATCTGTACTCTCAACAATTAATACTTATTTATATTTTCCCTTCATCGTAATAAACTATATAAAAATGAATCTTGTTTTGAGCCTGAGAAAAGGCCTAGAACCAGTCAGGGTGTCATGATTCATATCATATATAATAAACCTGAAAAGCAAAAATTATTGCGCAATCTCAAAGTAGAGTAATAACTGGAGTAGCTCAAGTAGACCTATTCAGTGTGAGAGGTGTAAGAACTGTGGGAGGGCAAGATGCAGTGACACTGAAAATTTGCGAATCTTGAACAGAAAGCTAAAATATAGAGATATAATTTACTGTCACCCATCCAATGAAACGCGAACACTTAAGCCCCTAAGTTCAATAACACGCTTACAAGGTATGATGGTTTTGATTTCACACAAGGCCAGCGCACCAACACGCACTTTACTTTGCAGAGAGCTGTAGTAGTAATCAAAATTCTAAATATTAAACATTTGCTTCCAATTTCAGTTTTTTGTCCTCTGGTGTTGCGTCCAGCCCCCCCCCCCCCCCCCCATCCCTGAGTGTATCTTAAAAAAAAAAAAAAAAAAAAATAATCTCTCCCCCCCCATTCCGGAGTCCTGTACTTCGCAGGGCTCAGAACGCGCGCAAGTTCACTGACCGGTCACAACGGCGAGCATGACAAGACGCTAGTAAACTTTTTTTTCCCCCCCCACAAGTGACAGCACAGGGACGAATATTGATTTATTTTCATGGCGACACCACATTTATATTCAGAACCTGCATGTTACAAATGTTGCGTTATCAGACAATTACTGACCACAAGTCTATGGGTGGTAACGAAAGCGAAAGTAGACCATGATTTTCCGGTCGAGCCTCAGTGTCACATACATTTCCGCTTGCCTCCACAGCCGCCTGTTCGCATGAAACGTACTCTCAGACCTGGAAAAGCCGAATTAATATCACAATCGCGACCGGCAAAAATGAACTTATAGACGTTATCGGATTTGGTTTTCAAATATTCGCGATCTTTCATGAATTTTCCCGGGTCTCGGCCATTTTTTTCAAATTCCCAGGTACCCGGAGCCTGGTAGTCCCCCTGCTCCCAGCAACTCTCTTTCTGATTGGCTCGCTGTCACGTAACGGAGTTTAGCGGAGGAAATGGCAGTAGAAGAAATCCGCTAAATAGCTGTATATTGAGACCCATGATACCTTACCTGTGTTATGGGCTTCTTTGCAAAAGACTTGTTTGATCTTTCAAGCTGAACATCAAGTTTGTTGTTACCTGATGAAGTTCAAAGAAAAAAAGGATTTAAAAATTCAAGAAAAGATCTCTTTGGATCACACCCAGCATCAAATTTATGCTATAAAAACAAAAGGTGAAGAAAATAGGAGACAGGGCTAATACTTCAAACTATCTTCTAACAAACACAGTTTCAATTCAATTTTTTTATCACTCTTCACTTATAATAACTAAGAACACTTGACATCAGCGAATAAACAATTCAAACTATAGGAAAGCATGCATCACTTCTGGAGTAACAACTGTATGAATGCAAATTAGGGAAATCTAAGTAATGCAAAAGAGAGCAAAGAAAGACTTGAACAGAACCTACCAACCACCCTTGCAGAACAATGGTGGATGCTAAAAAGAAAGCGCAAAAATGCTAGAAAAAACCTTTTCAAGAAAATTAACAATCAAGGCATTTGACGCTATACTAAATGAAATAAAACAAAACATCGAACACAAGTCTTCTAAAGAAAAGTTGAGTACTCAAGCTTATTCACAAGAGGAGTAAGGACAAGACCGAAATAAACTACAAAAAGTTGTACCACATTGTAAACCATACCATTTTTGGTGACTTTGTATTGTAGAAGTACACCTTGTCTTGTACCCACAAGTAGAGTTGATTCTGTGAGGAAAAAACAAATACACTTTTTGTGTGAAAAATATTTCATGACACTTTTCTTACATTGAAAACACTTACAACACACAGACGTACACAACACCAAGTGGAATAAGTAATGTAATTGTATGCACATATGCATGTTCATGAGCAGGAACATGTGTGTGATATATATCATTTATGAGTGTTTTCTTGCATGAATTAGTAGAACTGTGCGAGCTTGTTTATTTATATATGCCTTTGGAATGTGACTGATGCGAGAATGAGCAAAATAAAAATGAAGAGGAAAAAAAAAGGAGATGGTGTTACTTCACCCTGCCTGGCCTTCAAGAATAGTGAAATATATGAAAAAGGAGAAGTGCGTATAAGGTTCAAATTAAAGGCCGAGTACATGTTAGGATGTTCATCCATATGATCTGCATGTATTTGTAAGATAGCATGAAAGCAAGCAATTATTATGTGTTTGTGGATTTTTTTCTGGGCTCTCAGAAAAAGTACCATTGCTCCAAACCTAAGACTAGACTATGATCAAAAGTACACTTGTTTCAAGGTACATGCAAAGACTTCGAGGCAGAACCTAATGTAAAACAAATTTTCTTCGCAATAAATATTTTCTTTACTCTCCTGGAATTGAGATTGAAATGGAACATAAATACCATAGGCAGGAGTTTTGAATGCATGATCATAAAGTACACTTGTTTCTTTACACATTCTGATGTAGTTGGCCTAAGAACATGAAGAACCTGATTCTTCAAATCAACAAATCAAATATTCTTTCTCTTTCCATAAGTTACAAGAATTCAGCACAGGCAATTTTCTACTTTTAACCCTTTCCGTACGCCCTGGGGTCATTTTGTACCCCCGGGGTAGTATTCTTCACATTTTAGAATACTTCTAGTGCGAAGATCTTTTTGAAACTCTCAGTATATCTCAAAAAATCATTTTGACAGACTGCTATGCAAAGCGTACGGATCGGATTAACAAGTAAATTTCCTCTATGGAAAGTGGTGGCACAGAGTTCCCCTCGTCGTATGGATATGATAGTTAAACATGATGTACGGACAGGGTTAAAGAATTAAAAACCCAGCACATGTGCATGCCAGCATGTATGTATATAAGTATGTGTGTGTGTGTATGTGTGAGTGAGTGTGTGTGTATGTGAGAGTGTGTGTGTGTGTGTGTCTGTGTGGGCATGCGTGTTTGCGTGTGTGTGTGTGTAGGTGTGTGTGTAGGTGTGTGTATATGATAGAGAGAGAGAGAAAAAGGTTGAAGGGAGGAAAAGATGGATTAAAAAACTGGAGCAGAGAACCGGCGGATTTACAGAGAGTGAGAGAGAGAGAGAGAGAGAGAGAGAGAGAGAGAGAGAGAGAGAGAGAAGAGAGACTGATAGATAGAGAGAGAGAGGAGGTAAGAAAAACACTAGGCAAAATTTTGCCTATCAAGTCAGGAAACGAGTCAAAAGGCCATAAAAAGTAGATTAAGTCTCCAAATAATCAAAGACTACAGAACCACCTGCCCTAGATATGTCAGAAGTCTCATTTGCAGTTCCTGTTTAACCCTTTGAGCCATGACCTCCTGAGGCTACAGTACCGCTCTGCCTGAGCTCCTGAGTGATATGGATTAGTAACATTATATGATGGTCAGAATCACATTCCAGTCATGGTAGTCCTCATCATTACCAGTAGGCCTACATCTAATTCAGAAATATCTTCACAATATATATATATATATATTGTGAAGATATTTCTGAATTAGAATATATATATATATATATATATAATGTTCTGTGTAGTAAACAGGATTTCCCGTACGTGTTATGTCTCAGGCAGGTTGGGTTGGGTAGGGGACAGGGTCTTGCTCAATGGCGTACCGGCGGCTAGGCATTCGGGCATTTTATGTGCCACCGATGTCCTGGTGGCAAGGGCTCAAAGGGTTAAGACTTCAGTGAGATGTCATTGATATAACATGTGAATTACGCCTACCCATTATAATAGTTAGTTTCAGTAACTTTTAGTTGAGGTGAAAATGGTAGGAAATTCTGTCCTCATTGGACAGGACAACAAAACAGGAAATAGGTAGTGGAAATCCACTATGACAGCAGGCGAAATCTCTTTCTTTCTCCCCGCCTATTTCCACTCTATCTTTCTCTCATTCCATCCTGCCAACTGGGGCATGTCATAATAAAATACATTTTGCTAGCACTTCTCTCCTCTCTCTCTCTCTCTCGCTCACACACACACTACCGGGTCTGGGCGCTGAAACTTTCCGAAATCACAAAAGAGTTCCCCTACCGGGTCTGCATACTTCGTGACTTTGTTCCCGGTTACCGGATCTGTATTATGTATACACTTTGATTCTGTTATCACAGTGTAGAATTCTGTGGTTCAGGGTGAACGCTACACTGGTTGGCCTTGGCTATAACGGTGAACGCACACTGGGTGAGAATAGCCAAAAGGCTCGCCTGCGCTATTCTCACCCGGGGTGAGAATACAGATGGCCGTAGTGTATACCATCAAACTGTTCATATCATATGCTTGGCTTAGAATTAGATATTAGATCGACACTGACTGGATTCTAGATCTAGATCTAGATCTAGATCTAGATCTAGATTAGACCTATAACTCTATAAGAATAGATCGAAGCTCATGTTGTAACTCTAGATTCTAGATCTATATAATCTAGATATAGAAAGTCTGTGGCCAATCTAACATAGATCTAGAATCTAGATCTAGTTTACAAAGTCTTCTGGTCTTCTAATGACAATTCAGATTCTCAGTGCTCGATACAGACCAAAACAGGCGATGGATTCTATGTGTAGAGGTAGCTTCTCAAACACAGGGGCAGCTTCATAGGCGTCATGCATTTTGACACATTGCGCGTCCAACACAGCTGATGAGGAAGAGCACTGTTTAGTTCAATCCATTCAATTTAGCAGACGATATCATTTGACAGAACATGGAAAGATGTCCATGGCATAGTGAAGTGGCAGTGCCAGATCAAGTTTGTTTTCCTTTTCACATGACCGTACGCAAAGTAGCAAATTTATTCTTACAATACAAAAGAACTCTTGGGGGCCGTGAATCCATTGTCAAAGTAAAATCGTGTTCAGAGCGAAACTGCTTAATGTAGTTACTGTCTGCTTGAGTTTACAATTGCGTACATTGTATAGAGAAGGCAGAATCAAACAAGGCTACTATATTTAATGTATATATTTTAAGACAGCAGATTCGCATACGGTCAGATTTGTGTTTTCCACAATAAGACGATAATATTCTGTGAAGGAGCGCTAAAATGCGAACAGATTAGAACAAGTTTCTACGGCAACGCAAAGAGTCTGTGGCTTGTCAAAAGATGGCGGACAAGACAGCACCGGATAGCCGTCTTCGCTTGGAGTGGGTTTATGGATATAGAGGCCACCAATGCAGAAATAATCTGTATTACACTGCTAACAAGGACATAGTTTATTTTGTTGCCGGTGTCGGGATCGTCTATAGTGAGCGTGATCACAAACAGAGGTTTTTTCTTGGACACAGCGATGACATTGTGTGGTGAGTGATTTAGATTTTTTGCATCGATCAATTCAATCTGATTCTAATTTGCTATTTATGCTGAATGTTATCTTTTTCCACAATATACTTTGTTTGCACAACAGTAGACCAAAGAAGTACTTGAATTTACTTGCAAGAATGGTACGTGTTTCAACATGCAGTCTGTTGCTTTAGTCAGTGTAGGCTAGAACAGGTTAAGCTTTGAATCATCAGAACACTACTAGAACAGTACACTGTGTATAATTTATGATTAGGTTATGCAATGTAACTGTAAAAGCGTACTGAAATTTAGATTAACTTGAAGGAAAAGTGCGTCACTAAGGTACTGTAAAATAACTCCTGGATCAGATGTAGAGCTGGCCAGCTTTTCCCCCTGCCCCTGTTGCATGTCTTGTTGGGAAAAGTGGAGAAAATTAGTTGCCGTGCCGTAAC